AAGGTAGAGCAGAAGGTTAGCGCCTTCTGAGCCTATACTGAGAGCAAGACCATTTTGTCGATAGAGTTTGGTTGAATCGTCTCAGACGAAGTGGTGGAGAATTGAGAGCTGGGAAGGCTTCTAAGCTGATTTGGGCATCAGTGCCTGCTAAAGGTCTCAATGTTTGTGTCGCCCCCAAACTCCCCACGCTGAAATCCTACTGCCTAAACTAACGACATGGGTAGGTGGGGCCTTTGGGAGGTGCGTAAGCCAGGAGGGCGGAGCCCTCGTGGATGGGATCCGTGCCTCCTGGAAGAGCTCCAGAGAGCTCCTTAGCGCCCCCAGCAGGTGAGGATGCGGAGGAAGGCGTGAGCCTCTGAAACCGGAAAGAGGATCCTCCCCAGACCATGAGGGTACTGGTGCCTTGGACTTGCCGAGGACTTCCCAGCCTCCAGAACTATGACAAAGAAACTTCTGCTGTTTGTAAGCTCCCCATGTCTGTAGTATTTTGTGGGACTGGTGGGATTCACGTAACAAGAGGGGGCGGCTCAAACCACTAACAGCGAAAGAGCAGTGAGGGATGCTCAGCACTGCTGTGTACACGGAGGTTGGAAAGAATGTGCGCAGCAAGGGGCCTCACAACCAGCAGGACAAGCCCAGACCAAGCCGTCCATCCAGCTGGGGACACACGTGCAAAAACTGTCACCTGCGGCGGCAGCAGCCGTGACACCGCTAGAACCCCACCAGCGCCACCCTTGCCCCTGGACAGTCTGCGTCCTGCACTGCACCTCCGTTTTACCTCTCCCCTGAGGGGGAGCCTCCTGAACGTGCGCCTGACAGGTGAGCTTTATGTCATGTGTCTGCATACCGGCTTCCAGGGCCACTGGGAAAGCGGGCTGCTGGCTTCTTTCTTGGGGAAGCGAGACTTGGAAGGTGGGAAAGCTCCCAGGCACATGCAATGTGCTCCAGAGGAGCCAGCAGGGCGTTTTCACCCGTTGCGCTGGAGGTCTGTCGTTAAGCCTGGAGGCTTCCTTTTCTAAGATTGGGCACAGCTAGAGCCTCCGTTGGCCTGTTTATCTATGAAACGGAGCCACTTAAGACAAACTAAAACGCCCTTGTCTCGTAATACTTTCACTCAGCACCAGATATATAATTTGCAGGGCCCAGTGAAAAAAATGCAAATGCTGGGCTCCTTGTTCAAAAATTTAGAGCTTAAAGACAGAGACAGAAGAGCATTAGACCAAGCTGGGCCCTTCTGAGCATGAGTCACCCTGCACCTGCACAGATCACATGCCTTTGAGGCTGGTTCTGCTTCCTTCTTCCTCTGTAGCCAGTAGGATTGTTTTGTATGAACAATTGTCTAATCTAGTGATGCTAGACACAACAGGAAGAGAAGGGAACTCAAATGATATTCTTTATTCCAGAAAGGTCTGGATCCTTCTAGAAACCTGTTAGAGTTCATTTGGGAGGCATCACACTGGAACCTACACAAGGAAGAAGAAATGATGAAACTCCAACGCTGAACTGAGAAGAGTTGCTTTGGCAAGCCTGTTCATCCTGCCTGTCCTCATAACAGTGCCCTACTGCTTGTCATGGGATATGGTTTGTCATGGTGGGTGACTGGGGCAGGATTTTGAAACATTACAGAGGTTTCCTTTCTCTTTCTTTCTTTCTTTCTTTCTCATATAAACCTTGGTCAAATATATCCTTTGAAGCTAAAGAAAGACATCCATAGGCTGATATTGCATGCCAAAGGCTACAAGTGGTTTAAGATTTATATAAAAAGAGAAAACATCCCAAAATTCATCCATCAATACCAGGCTTCTCCAAAATCCCATAGGACCTTAGCTACTAAAAGAGAAAGCTGGAAATTGGTAATACCCATGCTTATATGCATGGCTCTAGTTGCCATGTAAATGTGTTTTTTGTTGTTGTTGTTGTTGTTTTGGCTTGGTTTGTGGGGGGAGTAGATTTTATTTATTTGTTTGAAAGAGAGAGAGTGCACTCGAGAAAGAGTGCGCGAACAGTTGGGAGGGGCAGAGGGAGAGGGAAAAGCAGACTCCCCGCTGAGCAGGAGCCCCAACACATGAGGCTCCATCCCAGGACCATGAGATCATGACCTAAGCCAAAGGCAGATGCTTAACTGACTGAGCCACCCAGGTGCCCCTAGCTGCCATGTAAATGTAAGTCTAATTTCTGCCTTGCGTGCTCAGGTGGTTTGAGTAGAGGTATGATGATGTCAGCCCTTGGAAGTGAGGTAAAAATTATGTTACCGTGACAGGTGTCCTTAAACAGGCTGAGACAAGGAGGAGAGATGCAATTACAGACAGGAGGGAAGTTCGGTTTGGGGACAAGAAAGACTGTCTTGTGTCAAAGTGCAAGGGAGAAGCAAAAGCAAAGACGGTGTGTGAATAGCAGGGCTGGAAATCTACAAAGATTGGGAACATGGATAGGGGGAGAAAGGAGTCAGTTTAGATGGTTCTGGAACATGCAGGGCTTCTTAACATCTGTGGGGTCTTCTTTAGTACAGCAGATGGTAAAGCACCCCAACTCTGGTTGTAAAAACTCCCACTTACTAGCTTTGTGACCTTGAGGAAGTGATTTAACCTTGTCAAGCCTCAGTTTCCTTGTCTGCAAAATGAGGATAGTGATAACTCTATGGATATTAAATCATTCACCAGGGGCGCCTGGGTGGCTCAGTCATTAAGCGTCTGCCTTCAGCTCAGGTCATGATCCCAGGGTCCTGGGATCCAGCCCCACATCGGGCTCCCTGCTCCACGGGAAGCCTGCTTCTCCCTCTCCCACTCCCCCTGCTTGTGTTCCCTCTCTTGCTGTGTGTCTCTCTGTCAAATAAATAAATAAAATCTTTAAAAAATAATAATAATAAATAAATCATTCACCAAACATTTCTAACAGTGCCCACTTGATGATAAGAACTCAGTAAATACTAGCTATGGTCATGATGATGGTGATGATAATGAAGGTAGCAGATGACAGTGGGCAAGGGAGTTAGTTTCTCTCTCCTGTCAGAGCACCAGGTTGGGGCCAGTGGGCCTGTGGATGCCACAAGGGTGGGGTAATGATGAGAGAGGAGGAACCTCTCTTCTCCTGCTCTAAGCAGGCCTGTGCCTTCTAAGAGCAGTGTCTGAGATCCTCTTTAGATATTCATGGGGTTATGTTATGTGTGTATATGTTATACACAGTAATCATCAAGCTGCACAGTTTTCCTACTTTAGAGCAAATATTTGGTCAAGTGCCCACAAAAATTGAGTAGAGGCACTGTCAGGAGGGCCTCACCTAGAGATGAGAGCCATTGGAATAAGGGAGAAAGAGCTCTGGACTCGGCTGCACCTTTGAGGAATGGCTCTTCCACCCTCGGGCAATCTCTTTTCCTCTGTGGAGATTTACAGGCCCTACGGGAAGGGAGACAGCTCCCACTGCCTGTTTCTGGCTGCTGGGGCATCAGAATCAGTGAATTTTCATGTCTGAACCTCCCTCACTTGCTTTATGTAAGAAAGGGAATAAGGAGAACAGAGAAGTGTCTGTGACAAGCTTTAGGTTTTGTTTTTGTCTTCTGGAAATGTTTTGTGACGGGTCAAATTACCACACATATATGATATGTGCATATGTTTATGTGTGTGCATATTTCTCTTTTTCTGATTCTAAATGTAATGCATGCTCATTAGAGAACCTCTGGAAAATGCAAAAGCCAAAAGTCAAAAACAGGAATCACCGATAAGACCATTACCCAGAGACCATTGCTCTGCCTTTGGGTTTATTACGTTTCCTTTCATTCATTTACAATATGTATGTCATTCAAATACACAAACATAATAGAATTTGTTAAATTTGTATTATATTTTAGAAGTTTTATATCATATTTCTTGTATTTATTGTTGACATTTTCCTATGTGATTAAATGCTCTTTGAAAACATTTTAGTTACATACAGCGAAATTAACTCTTTTTGAGTTCTGAGTGTTGGCAAATGCATACATTGGGTCACCACCACAGTCAGGATACAGAACAGTTTCTCACTCCCCAAAAATTCCCTCACACTGCCCCGTTGTAGTTACCACTCCCCCTAGTCCTAATCCCTGGCAACCACTGATCTATTCTCCATTCCTACAGTTTTGCCTTTTCCAGAATGTTACAGAAGTTGAATAATACAGTATGTAGCCTATGGGTCTATCTTCTTTTATTAGCAGAGTGCATCTGAGTGTTACTCATGTTGCTGCATATACCAATAGCTGGTTACTTTCTATTGCTAAATATATAGAGAGTGTTGCTGAGTATTGTATAGGTGTACCACAGTTAGTTCATCCATTCACCAGCTGAAGGACATTTGGGTTAGTAAACGTGACTTTTACCAGTTGAATGATATTCTATTCTACAGATATACCAAACCATATGAAGACAGTTCCCTATTATTGGACACGGTGAGTTTCTTCCCCCCTCCCCATTACATATAACCATTAAATGAACAACTTTTTTTTTAATTTAAATTATTTATTTATTTGACAGAGAGAGTGGGGGGAGGGGCAGAGGGAAAGGAAGAGGGAGAAGCAGACTCCCCTCTGAGCAGGTAGCCTGAGGCGGGGCTCAATCCCAGGACCCCAAGATCATGACTGGAGCCAAAGTCAGACATTTAACTGACCGAGCCACCCAGCTGCTCCTAAATGAACATCTTTATATGTAAATCTTTGCATGCCAATATATATGTATACATTTATATAGTGTATATATATCTTAAGCTATCAATAAGCATGCAGTGTGCCCCGCTGAGGATAAAGGAAAATACAGAAAAAATACAGAATTTAGTTCTGTTAGAATTTCCTAAAAATATTTTTTATACAGCAATAGTCTGGATCTCAATGCTTTGTACCATTATGAAATAAGAAGCTAATAACTCGCTTTAATTCTAATGCGGCAATTTTAACCTGTTCAATAGGACTAGATGAATTTCTTGTCTCTGAAATCTGGAGCATGTGTATCATTGAAAACTCCTCTCAGGACATTGTTTTCCCAGCAGGAAGCTTCATTAGACAGTGGAATCACCTGGTATGCACAGAACAAGAATGATGAATGTGCAAAGGGCAGGCTTCAGGGCTGGTGGATGGTTAGGGCTGCACAGAGGAGTTTCCAGTTACATTTGAACAGCTGAAGCCAGAGCCACTGGAATTCCTTCCTAAGAAAGGAATGATATGGCTGGCACCATGTTCTGCCCAGAGAGGTGGGACTTCTCTTTGAGTAGATGCTGCTGCCCTGCAAATCAAAAAGGAAATAAAGAAAATTTCAGTATTGGTGTCTGGCGCCTACTTTCAAAAATATGCATACACGCACACTGCAAAAAAATGAAATAGTACAGAAAGTATAAAGTGAAAAGTAAAAGTGCCTTAGACTCCCCATTCTTTTTTTTCCCTAAGATTTTATTTATTTATAAAGAGAGAGAGCAAGCATGAGTGGGGGGAGGAGGAGAGGGAGAAGCAGACTCCCTGCTGAGCGGGGATCCCAATGTGGGGCTTGATCCCAGGGTCCTGGGATCATGACCCGAGCCAAAGGCAGACGCTTCACCGACTGAGCCACCCAGGCGCTCCATAGACTCCCCATTCTTGCTTTCCACAGAGAATTATTGTTGACGGTTTGAGTTGGCTTTCGAGGAAGGACACCTATGTTTACGTTGTGCACACACCTACACACACCTTCACACACCCTTTTACAAGCACAAATGAAATCTGCAACCTTTTTCAACTAACATCAGATTTTGGACATATATCCTTATTGAACATATTAGTTACTTCATTCTTCCTCATGGATGAATTCTTACTGTATGGATATACCATAAAGCTAGCCAACCTCCGTACTGATGGACATTGTATCACTGGAGTTTAACTAGTAAGGAAAAACCTATCTTGACGTTAAGACACCAAGAGAGGCCTGGCCAAAAAAATGGACTCTGACCATAGCAAATAGAGTCTGACCACTGACTGGACTTTTTAAAATGGAAATTACTGAATTTTCAAAACCAATTAAAAGATACATTTTTTAAAATCATGAAACAATCTAACGTTGGCTTGGAAATTTATCCCATGGTCTTGGACTCCATTTGATTGCTGGTCACCCTTTTTTTGCTAATGATTATTGCAGCATTATTTACAATTGCCAAGTTAGAGAAACAACCTAAATGTCCATTCATAGACAAATGGATAAGGAGGATGTGGTACACACACACAAACAGACACACACAGGAATATTACATAGCCATAAAAAGGGATGAGATATATTTTTTTTTTTTTTATCATTTGCAACAACAGAGATGGACCTAGACGGTCTTATCCTAAGTGAAATAAGTCAGACTAAGAAAGACAAATACCATATGATTCACTCATATGTAAAATCTAAAAGAAAAAAACAAATAAAAAGTGGAATCAGACCTGTAAATACAGAGAACAAACTGATGGTTGCCAGATGGGAGGGAGGATGGGCAAAATGGATGCAGGGCGTGGAAGATACAGGCTTCCAGTTAGGGCATGAAAAAGTCACAAGAAAATAAAGGCACAGCATAGGGCATATAGTCAATGATACCATAACAGACTTGGGCGCCTGGGTGGCTCAGTCATTAAGCATCTGCCTTCGGCTCAGGTCATGATCCCAGGGTTCTGGGATCGAGTCCCGCATCGGGCTCCCTCCTCAGCGGGAAGCCTGCTTCTCCCTCTCCCACTCCCCCTGCCTGTGTCCCCTCTCTCTCTGTGTTTCTCTCTGTCAAATAAATAAAATCTTAAAAAAAAAAAAATACTGTAATAGACTTATTTGTTAACAGATAGTAGCTACACTTGTGAGCACAGCATAATATATAAACCCGTTGAACGACTATGTTGTACACTGGAAACTAATGTAACATTGTGTGTCAACTACACTCAAATAAAAACAAAATAAAGGAGGGGCACCTGGGTGGCTCAGCCCATTAAGAGGCTGCCTTTGGTTCAGGTCATGGTCTCAAGGTCCTGGGATCCAGCCCCATGTTGGGCTCCATGCTCAGCGGGGAGTCTGCTTCTCCCTCTACTCCTCCCCGCCCCCATGCTCTCTCTCTCTCTCTCTTTCTCTCTCTCTCTCTCAAAAGATAAATAAAATCTTAAATAAAATAAGAATCTTAAGCAGCCCACACATTTGTACTAGGGCTCCTCCTGCTGGACATTTTCTACAATTGCACTTCTGATTCAGATAATCTCAAGACTTGGTTTACTCAAAACTGATTTTTTTTTTTGCTTTAAGATAATTAATGAATATAAGGTATAGTTATGCTTATTCTTTTTAAAAAAGATTTTTTAAATATTTATTTATTTATTTATTTTAGAGAGAGAGCACGGAGGTGCAGAAGGAGAGGGAGAAGAGAGCACACTCCCTCCTGAGCACGGAGCCCAACACAGGGCTCCATCTTACAACACTGAGATCATGACCTGAGCTGAAATCAAGAGTTGGACACTAACAAACTGAGCCATCCAGGCATACCTATGCTTATTCTTTTCGAAAAATAAAATATTACAGAACAAAATACAGTTATACTGAGTGTCTCCATCCTTTTCCAGTTCTCGCTCCCTTTCCTAAAAGTAATCACTTAGAGCAATTTGGAGTTCATGTCCTTAGACCTATTTCATCATTGCTGTCCATTATCATGCACAAACAGAAACATACAGTTTTGTTTTCCTTTGCTTTTCATGACTGGGTTCATGTTCTAGGCCTTTACTTGTCACATTTTAACATAAACTGCTTATATGAGGTTGTGCTTGAGGGCAGCTTTCATGCAAAGAAAAAGACACTATTTGCAATTACTTTGGCTTAAAAAAATTAATTCTAGCTATTAAACTTATAAATTCAAAAACTTTATTTCCCCATACATTTCTCTATTTATGAATCATATTTTTCTATTTAAAAACCTAGGGGGGTGCCTGGCTGGCTCAGTTGGTAGAGCATGGCTAAAAATTTAGTAAAATCTAAGTACTTATGTTATTGAAATATAACTTTCAACAAAAAAATCCCAATCTGATATGTTTGGAATCACAGGGCTATTCCAACAGCTATTTTTATATGTTAAATTCTGTAAAATGTTGCAAATAAATTAAATACCAAAAAATGTAAGTTGTTCCTAAACTTACCACAGAACTATTAATAACATGAGTTGGACTTATATAAACAGCTGTTTGTTCCATTCTAAACCTTTGCAGATTAAAAGTCCTTTACTCCATTATCCCTAAGCAAGTGGAGCTTAGAATTCCCACTTCTGTGTCCTGGGGTGTGTTGGGGGGAGGAGGGACAACTCATTTTGGACAGAGAATTCAGACCAAGATAAGAGATTTGATGTTTCTCCTTGACCCTGACTGACAAAGTGAGTCCTTATTTTAATAACATAAGTACTTCTGTTTTCTTATATCCTCGCCAATCCGGTAGATTATCATTGTACTGAATTTTTGGCCAAAACTAGAGCCTATAAGCCTTTAAGTTTGTTTTCTACATATTTTTCACTTGAATTGTTCATGAGAATTTTTCCATTGCTGTATGATTATTCCTACCCCTGTCCCCCACCCCAATTTTATGGAAATATAATCTATATACAATATCTACATTATATTCCATTCAGTAAATGTAATCCTTCGATGTAACCACTCACTTCTCATTGGATATCTAGGTCCATCTCCCAGTGCTTACACTTTGGATTCAGTATTATAAAGAATGCTTTGGGGCGCCTGGGTGGCTCAGTTGGTTGAGCGACTGCCTTCGGCTCAGGTCATGATCCTGGAGTCCCGGGATCGAGTCCCGCATCGGGCTCCCTGCTCAGCGGGGAGTCTGCTTCACCCTCTGACCCTCTTCCCTCTCGTGCTCTCTGTCTCTCATTCTCTCTCTCAAATAAATAAATAAAACTTTAAAAAAAAATGCTTTGATAAACATCCTTGAGCATATAGGCTGCGCTCACATTCTGAATCGTTTCTTTAGAAGAGGGTACAAGAAGTACCCTAAGGTCTGACTTAGGCCAAAGATTGTGAATATTTTTATAATTTCTGATACATATTGTCAAATTGTGCTCCCAAAGCGATTTATAAACTTGCAATAGCATCAAGCATTGAGTAATAATTTTTAAAATATTTTTTCGCTATTTTTGGCTAAGGTATGTCCAAGATGCTGAGGTGAAAATTGCACCTCATTAAATTTGTATCTCATTGTTACTAGAAAGATGAAATCATTCTCCATATTTGCCACTTGGGGATCATCTCCTGCAAATCATCCATCAATATTCTTAGCTAAGTTGTTTAAAAAAGAGATCAGTAAAATTCCTCCCAAGGCAAAGAAAGTGGAAGAAAACCTGGCAAAGAGTGAAAGAGGGTTTTCTTCTTGGGGCACCTGGGTGGCTCAGTCGTTAAGCGTCTGCCTTCGGCTCAGGTCATGATCCCGAGAGTCCTGCGATCGAGTCCCGCATCGGGCTCCCTGCTCAGCGGGAAGCCTGCTTCTCCCTCTCCCACCCC